GTGGGCTGCGGGCCCTCACCCCTGCGCCTATGTTACTACTTTGCCTGCCTCAGAGCTGAGGAAGAGCCACTCATCCTGCCCACTCTGCCCTGCTCACCGCCCCCTGCCTCCCCGCCCACCTCACTCCCTTTTTCTCCCCCCCTCCTGCTCCTTCTCCCTCCTTTCTCGCCAGACCCTTGCTCTCCCGGAACAATGGAGGGGAAGGTAGGCCCAGCTGCTGCTCTACTGTTCTAGGCCTCTGCGTCCAGGCACCCCAGGGACCCCACCGGGGGTTCCTTCTCAGCCCACGCCCCTGCCCCTGGTTCCACGTGCCCCCAGTTCTGCCAGGCTGGGACTCAGCTGGGCTGGGGCGGGGTTGTGCGTGGCCCCTCTGCCTCAGTTTACAGACAAAGAACGGGTGCGTCTAATTCCCTTCACCCTCTGGCACTGGGTTCAAGCCTGGGGCTACTCAGTCTCTGACCTACAGCCGCCGAGGAAGTCCAGGCCCCACAGGCTGCCTCGCCTTCACAGTGGGAATGGTCCCCAGAGACTCCTGGGCATGCTGCATAAGAAGCCTGCCTTACACTTCTGTGCTCAGCGTCCTCAGAGAAGTGAGGCGGGGTAACATGCCTCCCTGACGGGCGAGTGTGCAGACCAGCCTAGCGGCAGGTAAGCAGGTTTAGGCGCCCGCAGAGCCTGACAGAGGTGGTGGCAGAAAGCAGCGGCTCCGGGGCCAGCAGAGTGCACTCCTCCCCTCCCCAACAGGGCTGGTTCCCTGGCAGCCTGCCCCGTCCCCCCCACCCCCCAGCAGGTATGCATCCTGCCTGGGGCTGGGAGGTGGCCTCCATGGATGCCCAGCCCTGGGCTTTGTCAGCTGGAAACCCATGCAAGGCCATACCCCCATTTTGTAGAGCGGGGAAGCATGGAGTGTCTTCACACTCAAACCAAGCCCTTGTCCCTTCCCCTGTGGCCCTCCCCTCCTCTTCCTGCCTTCAAAGAAGGGTCTGAAGCTACCAAGAATGGAACCTGGTGAAATGAACTCCCTCTCACTAAGGTGTAAATGGCTGCTGCTTGGGCGAGTCACCTCCCTAGAGGGTGCACCGTGGCTTGGCTCCACAGAAGAGGTTGCACTTCAGAGTGTGTGAGCTTTCAGGCCTAGAGGGTGGAGGGGCAGGGGCCGCTGTTAACTAGGGCTCTGCATGATTGGGTCCTAAAGCTGGTTGGGTTGGGAAGGCCAGGATCTGGTGCCCAGCAAAACCAGAACTTCCCAGAAGAAGCTTCAGGGCCTATGGAAAATTCCCAGGCTATTTTAGGCTGAGGCCCCTTCTCCCGCCACCAGTTCTCAGGGTAAAAGCCCTGCAGACGTACCCATCCCTTGAGGGGTCAGGGTGGGAGTGGCGTTTTCCCTCTCCCCCTCCCTTGCTAGGGCACCATCAGAATCTGAGGAACCGCCTGGGGGAGGAGTGCAAAGCCAGCTGCTTTGAAAGTGCGCCCCCTGCCCTGCTTTCTTCTGCCCGAAGCACTGTGTGCTTGTTAGCTCTGCCACCCTGGGCCAGTTACTTGATACTTTGTGTCTCGGTTTTCCCATCACTGAGATGGGGTGACAGGAGCTAAGATGCCTGGAATGCTCAGACACTACCTGGCCGTGGGACACTGCTGGGTTGCCCTGGTGGCTGTCTGTCCCGGCCCCCGTGTTAGCTCCTGGGCAGGCTGTCTGTCCCTCTTGTCCCTCTTGGTGTGTGCCCGCACAGTGGTGCTCGGTCACTGTAGTTGAATTGGAGGGGGCAGCGTCAGCCTTGACACCCTTTAGCGCCAACACGGGCGCCCAGCGTGCTGGGAGGCCAGGAGTGCCTTGGCTGTGCCCAGGTGTGTGCACACCCATGTGTGCGTGGGTCTGGACAGGTAGCTGCGTGGGCACAGGTGCACGTGCTTTCAGACACACCCTGTGCATACACACATAAGCTCACACTGACACATTTGCATACATGCATATCCGTGTACGCACAGCTCAGCGGTCATAACATGCCAGGGCATGACCCTGGGTCTAGAGGCCCCTCCTGGGTCCAGGCTAGAGCCTCCTGCCAGGGAGAGCTTCAGGCCTCAGTGTGCAACCCTGCCCCACCCCCTCTGTGGGGAGTTGAGGGGTGGGGCTAGTCCTGCCTTGTCTGGGACATGCCAAGGCCATGCCTGGTGTTGCCAGGAGAGCAGTTGCCAGCTGGAAGCCAGGAGCACACTAGGGGGTAGGGCAGGGCTGCTGCATGCCCCCATCCCTGTGCGTGTGTGTGTGTGCGCGCGCGTGCACGCGTGTGTGTGCAGCACTGGGGCCTCAGAGCTGGCTTCTGTGAGTGGCTGCACCCCCAGCTGATTTCTGTTCAGTGGACTCTGACCCAGCCCTCCCCAGCTGAGGCTAGTCACTCCTCCCCCTGCCCCCTCAGACCTTGGTGGGGGAGGAACTGGCCCTTGGCCAGGCCTGCTCTGGCTGCCCCAGCTGCTCCCCAGCTCAGATGGCCCAGGAGGGGCCTCCTGGGTGGTGGTTAGGCTGCTGGTGCCTCAGTTTCTCCCAGTGTTGGGGAGCGTGAATGCAGCCGCCTCCCATGGGCCGCGTGGGCCTCAGCACGTGCTGAGTGCAGTGCATAGTGACCGGGCTCGGGTTCTAATGCCGCCTAGGGAGGGGCCTCTGGGTTGTTCCCTGGGCTCTCCCGAGTTGTGGTTCTATGCCAGCCCTGTGCTGGGCCCCTGGGACACGGAGGGACCCCGTGCTGCCCTCGGATTATCCCCCTGGTGACGCGGGCTTCCACTGACTGGCTGCCTTTGGGGAGTTGAGGGGGATGAGATGGGGAAAGAAGTGGGGCCCCGTTCTGGTCCTGCTTCTTTAACTGGAGGGGTGTGTGGATAGGGAGGCAAAGGGACGCGGAAGAAGGAAGACACGTGTGACAGTGACGGTGACGACCGTGAGGGTGGCACAGTGCTTCCTGAGCTGGCCGCCACCTCCACCTCCTGTCCCGCCTCAGTCCTGCACCCTCACTCGCCGCTCAGGCTCCTCACTGCCAGCCCGGGCCCTCACCAACCGCAGGGCCTTTGCCCAGGCTGTTTCCCCACCTGGAAGAGCCTCCCTCCATTTTTCAAATGGCTGACTCCTCACTGACGGCCCTGCCTTCACCTACCCTGTTCCTTTTTTATCTCCTTCTCTTAATGTGATTCGTTACAATCTCGTTTGTGTGTGTGTTTTTTTTTTAAAGAATTATTTTATTTAACATTTTTATTTATTTATTAAATTTGACCAGAGTGACAGAATGAGAGAGAGATAGGGAAAGTGAGAAAGCAAGTTGCCAGGTCCAGGACTCGAACCACGGTCAGCCATGTGGGAATCCAGCATCCTTAACCACCATGCCACCTGCTGGCCCCATCTCGTTTGTGTTTTTATTTACCTGTCTATTCCTGGCTCTGAGTGCAGCTCTGCGCCTCCAGTGCCACGGATGGGGCCTGGCGCGTACTTGAGTGACTGCATGATGGCAGTGGTAACAGCCTCGGAGCCGACGGTTATGGCTCCCTCGTTCTGGCCTGATGGTGTCCCCACAGCTTAGTGTGTGTGATTTTATTTCGACTCCAGTAATGGTGTGAAGTCGGGACTGTGATCATTTCTGTTTGCCTGCTGCAGAAGCTGGGGCCCGGAGAGGTGAAATGAAAATGACCTGCCCAACATCACACAACTGGCGAGTGGTGAGGTTTGCAGTCAGATGTCTTGACTCAGGAGAAAAGGGAGACAGTAACCACTCGTCCAGCTGTCACCAGGCCACTGTGATCCCACTGCTGTCCAGGGACGCCTGGCAGGCAGGGCCTCTCCTTTGGTGAGGAGGGGTCATCCCAGAACTCTGGGCATCGGAACATTCCGGGACTCTGTGACCTGTGCTGTTGGGTCACGCTGGACCTGTGACCCCGACCCGAGCAGCCGGGGCCTTTATGAGGTGGGGGCTCCCTGGTCGCCCGGTCCTCCCTGGCCACGGCTACAGCTGAGAGAAGGGTCAGGAGGTAGCTATGTCGCTTCCTCCAGAAGGCCAGCCGGCCGCCTCCCTCCCCAGCCGGACGCAGCCGAGTCCCAACAGGGGAGTGTGGGAGAAAGTGGAGGGAAAGGTTTTGTCCTTTGGGGAGGGTAGCTCCCCTCGGAGGCATGGCCCCAGGCCTCACGTGGCTCACGCTGCAGGAAGGGTGGTCATTGCTGGGTGGGCAGCTCCTCTAGGCATGGCAGTCGTGGTGGCTGGCGGGCCTCAGCATTCTCAGAGCTTGTGGTTCTTTCCAGGAGTTGTTGGAAACCTGGGTTCGAGGCTGGCTCCTGGGATGTTTAACAATGGTTCATGTTGTAAATTAGAACAGCATCCTGGGCTCTCTGGCCCCCGCTGTGTGCGTGGAAGTGGACTCAGAGACTGGGCCTCTGAGCAGGTGACAGGTGACACCCACCTCGCCTGCCCACTTAACAGATGTGGAAACTGAGCCCAGAGAGTGGAAAGGACTTGCCCTTTGACCTGTGGGCTGGTGTCTTTCCTTCTGACCTTGAGCCAAGGCCTGGTGGGATGTTGGAGCTGGGACCCCACATTCACCACTCAGGGCTCCTGGGTACGGTGAGCCTCCACAAGCTGGCAGCAGCTGCAGACCCTGCTCCCCGGTGTGTTCGGATGCACTTAGGGGTCACTGCGGGAATCTAGTTTCGGTGACCCGGGCAGGTGGACATTCAGGCGAGCTCTGGGTCCGCATGGGTTGGGGGGTGGGGGGGCGTGCATACCTTGGAAATGCCCGTCTTCCCCTCCAGTCCCTTGCACTTGACCCCGGCCCTCCCTTGCCTAGACACAGGCTTGTGACAGCCCCTCAGGAAGAGGCTTGGGGTTGAGGCCTCTCCAGAATGTGCTCCCGGCTTTGAGGAGGCAGATGCTGTGTGGCTCCCCGTCCCCGTCCCTGCAGTGTCTGACGCATAGTGAGTCAAGGGGCGCTCGGAGTGGCTGAAGCCTGATCCTGGGATCTCACTGCTGGGTCCCTGCCTGAGGCTTTCTGCCGCCCTCCGCCTGCCTGGCTCAAGTACAGTCGGCCCTCCGCATCCGCAGGGGTTGGTCCCAGGATCCCCGTGGATCCCACGTCCACCTGTGCTCAGGTCCCTTACACAGAATGGTGCGACATGGGCACATAATCTGCACACATCCTCACGTTCTTTAAGCCACGTCCAGCATACCCACAGTGGCTGCCATGGTAAAAATGCCATGTAAACCGGGTTTCACTGCATTGTTTAGGGAGCAGTGACAAAATCTGGGGCCCGTGGTGGCATGTTGGGTAAGGGGCAGGATCCTACATGGCCAACAGCTGGTTTGAGTCCTGGACCCAGTGGCTTAAAAAACATGCTGGGCACAAGAGCATCCTGAGAGGAGGGAGAAGTGGGAAGAGAGAGTGATGTGACCGCCCCCCACAGGAGCTGGGGTGCTTTCTCATTTTTTTTTCCTCTGGTGAGTGCACATGGCCTCTGGCAATTTTTTTTTTTTTTTTTTTGGAGAGGTTTTTGCTATAGGGCACGTGTGGTCGCCAGAAAGACAGAGAGAGACAGAAAGCGAGAAATCACCCCCCCCCCAGGGGGGATGGCCACGCCACAATCCCTTTTCCTCCATTCTTCTCTCAGGATCTTGGGCACGCACGCACATGTGCCCGGCGTGAGTTTAAACCACCGGGTCCGGGACTCGAACTGCATTCGACCACATGGGAGTCCAACAACGTAGCCATTATGCCATCTGCTCTTCCCAGCAAATTTTTTAGAAATTAAAAAAAGGTCTACGTGTTTAGTATACACACAGCTATGGCAGGATGTTTCTCCATGGCGGTGGTGGTTTCTGAGCGTCCAGGTGTGTCAGAGTCTGTGCTGGGTGCTGGGGACACGGGGGCCAGTGTTCTGGTCATGGGGTGATGTGGCGTTCTGTGCAGAGCCAGGTGGAGGGAGGCCCATGCTGCTCCAGGGCCCGGGAAAGGCCATGGCCATGGCGCGCTTGGAGCCGAGCAGCCTGAGTACCCAGAGAGCAGGCAGCCTGCACCCAGTTGAGAATGAGCCTCAGGGCTTGGAGCTGAGGATGCACGGGCCTCGCCTCACCAGGCTCGAGCCTCTGAGCCCCTTGTCTCTCTCCAGGTCAGCCATGTCATCTGAGCCACCCCCACCGCCTCAGCCCCCCACCCACCAGGCTTCGGTTGGGCTGTTGGACGCCCCTCGGGCCCGTGAGCGCTCGCCTTCCCCACTCCGGGGCAACGTGGTCCCGAGTCCACTGCCCACTCGCCGGACAAGGACCTTCTCAGCGTGAGTCCGGGGCTGGCCAGGGGCTGGCGGCCATGCTTCCTGAGACGGGGCTCATACCTGAGGCCCGAGTCACTGAGTTTCTGGCCACCTTGGGCCTCATTGTCTCTAGCTGTCAAAAGAGGATACATGGGGTCAGTGTAAGGGCAGTGGTGAGAAATGGAGAAGTGCTCGCTGACCCTGCACATCCTGCGTGAACCTGCCCCAGGCTGGGGGTGGCAGTGGGTGGAAATTGATGGGCTCTTAAAATCGCTGTGCTTCAGCCCCCGAGCCTCTTCCCCTCAGCTGTGGAGCGGGTATGGTATTGGGGTGGCCCAGGGCTGCAGATGGCCCACACTGCCCAGGAGACACAGCTGTGAGGCCCAGCGAGTGGCTACAGCTGCTGTGGCTAAGGATTAATCGTTAGTCTCCAGTGCGATGCCCAGAGACCTTTCAGTTGGTCCCCTTTCCAGGGGGAGTCAGGCCTGAGAAAATGTGCTGGGTCCCCCATTGTCGTTTCTGGCCAGTCTACAAGTGGCCCCCAGGGTCTGCAGCACAGAGAGTGGTGTGACTGTGGTGGGCACAGCATGGGCCGGACTGGGGTGAGCGGGGTGTGTCCAGGAGAGGGGAGTGGCTGTCGTGGAGCACGGTGGGGCCCTCATGCCTGTCCCTTCTCTGTCAGGACGGTGCGGGCCTCACAGGGCCCCGTCTACAAAGGAGTCTGCAAATGCTTCTGCCGTTCCAAGGGCCATGGCTTCATCACCCCCGCTGACGGTGGCCCCGACATCTTCCTGCACATTTCTGAGTGAGTTGGCGGTGGGTCTGGTGGCCGAGGCGGAGGTGGGCGCTGGCTGGCCCCACGGGCTGGGTGTGTGAGTGTGACGTGTGCTACGTGTGAGGACGCATAGCCAGGTGTGCGGCCACCTTCGGCCAAGCTCTGTGTCGCGGTGCATCAGGTGGGGTTGTGAGACCGTGCACAGCTGTGTCAGGGCGTGTCTGTGGGTGACAGTGTGCGAGGGTGACTTGAGTGTGTCTTTGTATAAGGTTTTGTGTGTCCCATCATGGATGTCTGGGGGTGCACGGCTGTGCTGTGGGAACAGGGTGGTAGCAGCTGTGTACTGTGTGTGTGTGTGTGTGTGCACGCGCGTGTGTGTGTAGCTCTTAGGTCTGAGTGCCCACGTGTATCTGGCTGATGGAGGGGAGTCTCTGAAAGTTGAGGAGCGTGTTTGGCCTGGGGGCCAGTTTCCTGCCCTACTTAGGGAGAAGGGGGCTGACGGGCGCCTGTGTTCCGGGAAGGACGTTCAGGATCGGCTCTTGTCTCCTGCTGCTTGTTTATTGATGCCCTTCCTTCCCGTGTGTCTGGAAACCTTGGGGAGCTCCCGGCTGAAAGGCCCCCTGCAGCCTGTGCCCCAGGGGCTCCCATCTTCGGGTGGCCTTCAGACACCGGTGGGCACCCCTCCTTACCCCTAGCTCGGCCTGAGCAACCTCAGCCTGGGGTTCCATGTCAGGCGGTGGCAGGCAAAGCCACCCCACCCCCCGCCAGCAGACCTGGCACAAAGACACCGTATTTTGAAAGCAGGATTCCACTGCACGTGGTCTGCTGTGATGGGAACTTCTCCCTTCTTGGCCCCCAACATTCTTACATGCCACCTCTGTTGAGAGGCCCCCACGCAGTGCAGACATGACGGTGATGCTCAAGCCATGAGCTTTGTGTGTGTATGAGCGCGTCTGTGGATGTGGAAGTGCATCTCCACGCTGTTTCCTAGAAGGGTTTGCAGTGGGTGATGAAGACAGGTGATACGGGAAACAAGTCATAAGGAAGCACATGGGGGCAGGTGAGGGACAGGGTGACGTGCTGCCAGGTTCCGCTGCTAGAAGTGAGTTGTGCGTTTATTCTTGAGCTTCCTGGTGGCCAAGGCCGAGGAGGAACACTGTGGCCCATAAAGCGTTCTGATCCAGACAGATCCTGGGGGGCATCGAGATGCCAGCCTCACTGTCAGACGGTGACTCATGTCCTGTAGAAAAGTAAGGGACGGCCACAAAGGAGAGGACATCCCTGGGACAAGCTTGAAACACACAAGGCTTTCTCCGTGGGTTTCTGGAGTTGAAGAGCAGACACAGTTCAGGATTCCTGGGGCCAGGGCCGGCATGTAGGGAGCTCAGAAAACCCTTCCGCGGCCGCCCCAGAGCTGCGATCCTGTTCCGGGTACTCTGTCCTGTGCTCGCCGCTCTGTGGTCCAGACAAGGTGCCTTGTTCCTCATCCACGTGCCCAGGCTTCCACGTGCTGTCATAGCATGAGCGCCCAAGAAGGCTGGGCCTCCAGAGCTCAGGGGAGGAGCTTATTGGGTCAAGCAGGGGCTGCTTGGCCATGGCGGCAGGCTGGGGGTGGTGTGATGTCCCTAAAGTGTGGTGGCTCCCCAACTGGAAGGGCAGGAGGGGCAGTTCTTCAGAGAGGGGCTGTGGGAGGTCAGTCACATGGGGCCTGCCCAGTGGCCCTCTGACTGGAGGCACTGGTGTCTTGGGCATGGAGTCTGCTGGCCTTTGCCGGTGGGCACTGACGGCTCTCCTCTGCCCACAGCGTGGAGGGGGAGTACGTCCCAGTGGAAGGCGACGAGGTCACCTATAAGATGTGCTCCATCCCACCCAAGAACGAGAAGCTACAGGCCGTGGAGGTGGTCATCACCCACCTGGCACCAGGCACCAAGCACGAGACCTGGTCCGGGCACGTTGTCAGCTCCTAGGAGACGCTGGAGCACCCCTTCTCCTGGGCCATGGGAGACTTTGGGGAGGAGGAGGCGGGACCACACTGGAGATGACATTCGACCCCCCAGCTGGGGCTTCAAGGGGACCAGGTGTCTTTCAAGGTCCTCCTGAAGGAAGGGGTGCGGGCAGCATGAGGGCGGGCAGCCCCTGGCCACCAGCACGGCCTCTGACCATCTGCAACAACCTCTCACCATCTGAAAAGCATTAAACGCATTTGAAAAGGAGAGGCACCCCCATGGCTGAGTGGAGGGTCTAACCCCAGCCCAGGGGCTTGCCAGCCAGAGTCCTTGAGCCGGAGGCTCATCATCCCCGGAGGCTCATCATCCCCGGATCTGTCCCACCAGGGATGGCCTACCCAGAGTGGTTGCCCCGAAACGGCCCTCTCGTGTCACCTCGGACCAGACTGGTCTTCTCATTGTCGCCTTGACCGCTTCCAGGGGAGCTGGTTTCAGGGCAGTGGGGAGTTGGGGGTCTCTGATCAGGGACTTGCCTTTTCCTGCCTGTCTGGGGCTGCAGTTTTCCAGGGCATGGCAGTCTGGTGCCCTTCCACCTTCTGGTGAGCGATCCTCACTTCCGGGCCAATCTGGTGGCTGGGGCTGGAGGAAGGGCTCTGGAGGGGGCGGGTCTTTGTTTAAAAACAACCTTCTCCAGATCCATTCAGAAACAAGCACCTGTTTCCAGACAGCCTGGAAGTCAAAGTTGAACGAGAAATTTACTTTGGTAGTGGTGACTGGGGGTGGGGGGTGTTTCTTTAAAACTGGTGTTAACAAATGCTTAGGGATTTTTTTTTCTTCTAAAAAACTAAAGCCCTCACCCAGAGGCAGCTGTTTGCCCTCTGCTGCCCACATGACAGACGTTTGTAGGTATCTCCAGTAAGCACGGCCTTAGGATTTTCTTTGCTGTGGTTTGGTTTGGCATTAGTTGTGATTTAAAGATAGAAATAGGTAATACGTTTAGAATACGTGTTGTCGAGAGCCTGCCTGTTGACACGGGGAAGCCTCCCTTTGAAAGAGTGGCCCTTGCGTGATGACAGTGGCTCAGACAGGGATGGTCATTTGGTGCAGGGAGCTCCAGGGGCCTCCTGGAGTGTCTGAACTCTGGCTGAGTGTGTCCCCTTAGCCTAGGAACTGCGTGTGCAGAGCCGGGTGGAGGCCGCCACTGTTCTGCTGATGGCTGGTGGCAAGTGAGCGCCTTGTATCTGCGCACTGAAACGTGCAGCCGGTCCTGTGGCAGTTAAGTGCGTGGCCCTGTCCCCCTCCCGCCTCTGCTTTCTGCAGAGGTGACCTTTTCCCCTGCAGTGTTGGAGTGTTCCCCAGGTAGCTCCCTCGTGCCAGGTAGAGAACACAATTCCAAAGCCACTGTGCCCAGACTGGCGTGGGTCCCTGGAAGCCCAGAGCCGTCCTCCCCCAAGCATCTCGGTGGCTTTGCGCTTGCTGGGATCCAGCTGGGGCTCGGTGTAACCCACATGCTGGAGCTCCAGCGGGCTGGCCCAACCACAGTGAGCCTGGGAGTCACATTCCACTGTTCGGTGGTGACCTTTGGATTCCCTGGCTCAGCAGAGTCCTTTGTAAAGGGTTCGTCCCTGCCCTTCCTGTGTGACCGCATCTTTTCCAGCCGAGTGTTCTGGAACTGCAGGATGGTAGACTAGAAGGAACTCCATCTGTACGCGCTCACGGAATCTCCATTCACGGTTGGGGAAGCTCCTCCAGGCTCTTGGGGACACCTGGTGTTGGTGACCCAGCTGGGACTAGTTCCAGGATTCCCTCATCCAGCCCTCACCCCCGTCAGCCCTGTTCCTCAATAAAGTTTTGTTTTGTGGAAGGCTGTGCGTGTGTTTGAAGAGCCTGGCTCCCTGAGGAGCTTCTTTAAGCAGCGGGCAAGGGCGTCCCCCAGGGTGAGGCGGACAGGTTACTGCAGTGTTGGGGGGTGGTGAGGAAGGTGGGTTCATCCCTTTGTCTCTGGTGGTCATTCTCTTGTAGGCAGGCTTAGCATGGGAAGTGGCTTCTGGGTGACAGGAAACGCAGGCTACTGGTTGGTTAAGGGCCCAGCGAAGTGTTCAGGATGTGAGAGTACAATCCTATCCCTTCTCATGCCTGCCTGCGGCCGGAAGGGCCAGGTCTCTGGCTCCTCGCTGCTGCAGACATTTGCTGAGCTTGCCGCTCCAGACTCGGGGTACCATTGCACTGGAGACCAGGCTATCCCCACCCTCAGGGCCCGGGGGCTGGCAGGAGACTATTAGACTAGGACCTCTTCAGAGTGCCAGCAGGGGTGTCCCAGGCTGGGGGCGAGGGGCGGAGCAGAGCCAGACAGAGGTGGGGAGCAGGTTGGAGCTGGGAGCTTGGTTCCCAGGAAGGAAGGTGGGGAGGGGCCGAGGTGACTGGCAGGGGCCACTGGGAGTCCGCCCAGCCTAGGAGGTTCTGCTCCAGCTAGTGTTTCCCAAAGAAGGTAGGTAGTGACTTTCGGTGGTGCAGAAATGGGCTTTCTTTTTCTTACAGAGAGAGGAAATAAAGAGAAACCACCCCCTGGGGGGATAGCCATGCCATAGCCCTCCTCCATTCTCCTCTTGGGAGTTTGGACATGCACATGCACCTGGTGTTTCTCAAGCTGCCGGGCCCAGGATTTTGTCATTGGCTATGTGTGACCCAGCCCCTTAACCACCATGCCACCAGCTGGCTCAGTTTCTTTTCTATTTTTTTCTTTTTTTTGGAGAGGTTTTTGCTATAGGGCGCGTGCACTCGCCAGAGAGAGAGAGAGAAACAGAAAGCGAGAAATCACCCCCCAGGGGGGATGGCCACGCCGCAATCCCTTCTCCTCCATTCTCTCGGGATCTTGGGCACGCACGCACATGCACCCGGCGTGAGTTTAAGCCACGGGTCCAGGACTCGAACCACGGTCAACTACATGAGAGTCCAGTGACATAACCACTATGCTAACTGCTGATCCCCAGCTCAGTTTTTTAAACCTTTTTAATTTGCTACAGAATGCATGCATGTGCTTGCCAGAAGGAGAGAGAGGAAGCACTCTCCCAGTGGGACCGCCCATTTCTCCATCCTGTCAAGATTTTGGGTACTGCCCCCCCCCCAAATGCTCAGTGTTTTTAAGGCACCAGGTCAGGACTTGAACTGTGGTTAGTCATGTGGGACGCTTTAGGCACTAGGCCACAGGGCCAGCCCAACAAATTTTTATTATTAATAACATCATGATTTTCAAAGTGTACTAGGAAAAAGCAGCCTGTCCAACCTGTTTAGGGAGAGACCACAGCGGGCCTCTGACTGCAGACAGTGAGACCGGGCTTGGCACGCGGTGTTACACAGGTCGGCCTGGGAGAATGGTGTCTGGGGAGTGAGGTGGAATGAGTTCTAGAACTTGACTGGGGTGCTGTAGAGGGCCAAGTGGTGTGAGGGAGCCTGGAGGTCACTCCTGATGGTGGGAGGTGCCCAGCCGTGCTATTGAGAGGCATGGGCGGGGGGGTGGGGCGACACAGGAAGCACCTCGGGCAGGAAGTGATTCAGGGCCACACAGATTAGCCTGGATTTCATCTGCCCAACCAGATCCTCTCCTCTTCCCTTCCTCTCCTCACTACCCACCACAATGTCAGGTCGTGAGCAGGTCACCCTGCCCTCTGGATCACTCATGGGCACGCTTCTCACCAGGGTCCAGAGGGCCTTCCTGAGCCTCTACTCCCACCACTCCCACTCAGCCCAGGCCCCTGGAACATGGAAGCCCTGAGCGACATGGGTCCAGGGTCAGCTTCCGTAGTGCTGCGGGCTGGGAGTAGGGGTGGCCTTCATTCTCAGCCTAGGCTGGCTGGGTGCCACCTCACCTGCTGATGGACCTGCCTCAGGGCTCCTGGGGCTCTGCGAGAGCACACGTGCAGGCCCGAGTGCTGTACTGCAGTTAACGCGCTCACGTCACTTGTGTGGTAGGGGCTGTCCCATCTCACCGACGAGCAGACAGGCCGAGAGGGACAGCCTGTCACAGCCAGTCAGCAGCAGAGCTAGGCCTTGCCCAGCCTGCCACACTGCAGAGCGTGTGCTCCGAGCGCCCAGGAGGTCCTGGTGACACTGCACACACAGTGTCTGGCCGCCATGGTGAGTCCTACCACAGCGCCTGGTTGGGAGTAGGCGTAAGTTCCCGGGAGGGTTGGACTGACTTGGGGTGGGAAAGCAGGAGGGATGCAGAAGTCCAAAGTCCCTTTGGGTGGAGGGAGGGCTGAGGGGCCACTGTTGGTGGGGAGGATGGCAGCCCAGGCCTGGAGAACATGAGGCTCACCCGAGGGCAGCCGTCAGGAGCTCCCCTGTCCATTGCAAGGAGGGTTAGCACAGGTCGGAGGCGCTCCTGCTTCGATATGATACACTGAGGAAACGGACTCCTGGTTCTTGACCCTGTGGACGGGGGCTGCCATCATCAGAGAGAGCTCAGGGCTAGTGGCTGTCAGGTCTAAAAGGGGTTTTCCTGCGGAATCCGCAAAGAGGCAACTGCTACTCTCACTTCACTGCTGACGGAGGAGGAAACGTAATCAGCATGAGAAATAGGAAATAAATCATTTTAATGTGCTCATTGTGAAAGATCATTACAGTATCATTTGCAAAACTCAACCAGGAAAGATGCCATGGGGTGGCTGTGACCTGAGGCCCACCCCACCTAGTGTGTGTGTTTGTGGGGGGTGGGGGCACCAGGTGGGTCCCTGATGCACACTCCTGGCTGCAGGCAGGGAGGCGGGGTACAAGGCAGCAGGGTTCTGGCCCAGGCTCAGGTCGGGAGCCCCAGCACCATCACTGAGGCTTATGGGTATTGGGGTTTCCAGATACTGAAAAGCGGCCTGAGCTTTCCTTGCCAAGCTCCCCTAACTGTCCTGCACGAGGTTGTGCGCTTCCTCCATTTCTGGAAGAGCTTTCCGGGCAAGGAGGGAGCAGTGCTGGGCACAGGCCTAGCCACAGCTGCTGCCGTCAGCTGTCAGCTGGGGTGAAGGGTGAGGGGCTAGGAGGTCCCTCATGTGAAGGAGCAGCTTCTGGGCCGGGTGGCAGGCTGGAGGTGGAGGAAGCCTCGGGAAGGACAGCCAGGGCCAACAGGGAGGCAGCAGGCGTTGGAACAGGGTGACATCCCCACAAGGCCCTGCCTGCCTGGAGGGGCTGTGGGGCACCAGTTCTTTCCTGCGGTTGGTCCCCGTCGCCTCCTGCCTTGGTGGGACAGGAGAGCGGCCAGGCTGTTCCATGTGTAGTGAACGCAGAGCTGCTCAGACTCCAGGCCCACCTGGTATGAGCTCCCTGGGGTCAGTTGTCACTAGGCCAGCCGCCTGGACCACTAATAGGAAGCAGCCTTGGACACAGCATCCAGCCATGAGCTCCAGCCTGGGCCTGCTCATACTGGCCAAGCCTCCTGCCCCCTGGCCCGCTCTTGTAAGAAGCTGTTTCAGGAAGGTCGTGACAGACGTCCTTCCTTTTTCCTTCCCCAAATGGCCTGTTGTGGATGCAGGGTCTGAACGCTGAGCTGGCACCTTTGTGTCTTCACAAGCCCTAAGAAGAGGAGGTCAGAGCGCTTCCCTGCATCAGTCCTGGCAAGGAGGGGTGTGTAGTGCCACTGTGCAGGGGTCCTAGGCTCAGGGGTCCCGGGTGGGCTCCATGGCCCTTCTTGGCAAGTCTTTTCCTCTCCTGCTTCTGCACGGGAGGTGGTGGCATCGCAGGCTGGGGTGGAGTGATGGGCACAGTGTGGAGAGCTGGCTGGGGCTAGGGTGGGCGTGTACGTCGGGGAGGGACCCTCAGCTGCGTGGCCCAACACCCCTTTCAGGCCGTCAGCTGGGACCACATCCCCTCCCACGTTAGCAGAAGAGCTCCTCACAGATCCTGCGTGTGTCCTCGGGCGCTGTCACCGTGTAGCTCACGGTCCTGGGGTCTGTGAAGATCTCGTGGTCATTGCCACCCTGCAAAGACACGAAGCACAGGTCTGTCCGGAGCCACCACGGCCGTGAGCCCAGAGCCCAGGCTGCCAGAGCCCAGGCTGCCAGAGAAGTGGGAGCTGGTGCTTTTACTGGGGCGGGAGAGAAACACCCCAAGCACAGTCATCATCCGGGAAGGATCCATAACCTTCTCCTGAACTACAGTCTACCCCAGAACTCGTAATTATGCCTGGGAGAGGAGTCACGACGTGCCCGTGAAGAGCTGTCTAAGGCTTATTTTTCTATGAAGAAAAGCACAGCGAGTGACAGGATTCTCACAGCCATCAATTTAAGCCATGCCCAAAGTTTTTTTTTTTTTTTTTTGCTGGTGGGGGTGTGTGGTTGCCAGAGGCAGAGAGGGAAAGGAGGAAGCACCTCTTCTGGGGAACAAATTCCCAGTTCTCCCTCCTCGGGGGATTCTGGGCATGCACATACGCGTGCCCGGAGCGTTTCTCAAGCCGCTGGTCTGGGCCCGGAGCTGCTCAGTGGCCAACACAGCTGCCTTACCCACTGGGCTATGGAACTGGCCTCATGCCCAGACTTTTCTAACACGTTAGGGTGAGGCAGCATTCGAGGGCCAGGCCAGGCCCCTGGTCTCAGGTGAGTGAACGGGCTACCTGCCCTCCCTCTGGCCTGCAGGAAGGCCCCTGCTTTCCTGTCATAGGATTTCCTGTGTCTTCCTCACAGAACCGGCTAAGCAGTCTAACTCAGAACACTGGGAAAACCAACTCATTCAGGATATGAAAACAACCGCAGAGAAATTTTTCTTTTTCCATCAAACACAGAGCATGAAGCCAGCGCAGAGAAAACCTGATGCTGCAGGAAAAGCTGACACCGCTTTAAAGGATTAACTGACACTGGACCTGACCAGTCCGTTTCTTTATTCATGAGAGGGCCTGTGCCGGGGTGGGGTGGGGGAGAGGAGCACCCTCCCTGGGGTCTGGTCGCACTGCGATCCCTCTCCAGCCCTCCAGCATGTGCCTGGGGTGCTGCAGGCTGACAGGCGGGATTTGAACTGCAGTCCCACATGGGACCTGGCTTCTGAGCAGTGATCATGGTGCCTGGGAGCCAGCCCCCAGTGCTCTCGCTGTGTCAGGGCAACCTGTCTCAAGCAGGTGGCTTCCCCAGGTGGGAGAAGTTCAACCCTTCAGGAGGGGAACTGCCCAGAGGGGGGGGGGGAGGCCCTGGTCTTGGGGCCCCCGTTCCAACTCCCCCGAGTCCACTGGGCCTTGGGCGCGGCCTTCTATGTTTGTACTGTTCAGGGCTCTGAGGTCACCGGGATAGCCCCGAGCTCTGGCCAGCAGCAGCTGCCTAGGCACGGGTGAAATGAGTTCTAAGTTACTAAATTTAAATCACTAAATTCTGATGATTGGAAACGCCAGCTTTCTCCAAGGACCAGGCATGGTGGGTGCAGGTCCCAGAGAAGCCACCACGGGCAGAAATGACTACTGTGCTCCCCACCAGAGGTCAGCGCTTGCCTGGGCCAGCCGCTCCCGTTCCTCCCCGGAGCAGGAGGGAGTGAGTGCCTGTGACCTGCCAGCGTTCGGGAGGTGCTTGGGGGACAGCCACAAGGAGCTCTGTGTGCGTCCTGTGGGCGCACAGCACAGGGAGCAGGGCGCCAGGCCTGACCGGAGTGCGCCACAGGCCACAGCCTGACTCTCCAGGCAGGGCGCTAGGGGAGGAGGCAGGGATGGAAGTGTTCACGGCGTCAGGACCAAGCCATGGGGCCTAGCAGGTCAGAGTTGGGATTTTGGGGGAGCCTGATGTGACTGGGTGAGCCTTAGTGCAGGATCTCTCGGGAGGGCTGGGGACGGGGTAAGAACGACGCCAAGGTGGAGGGAGAGCAGCCAGGAACTGTGGTCAGCCTGGGTACAGGGACGGCAGCCACTTCCTGGACCTGGTGGCTTACTTTTCCACTCCCCCCCCCTCTGGTGAGTGCATGAGCTCTATAGCAAATTAAAATAGTAATAATAAATAAAAATAAATAAATGACTCTTAAAAAAAATAAAGCAACTCAGGCCCTTGGGGCCAGCAGGCAGCAAGGTGGTTAGGGTGCTAGACGCCCACATAGCTGACTGAGGTTAGAGTCCTAGACCTGACAGCTTGTTTTCTCACTTTCTCTAATGTGCACACATGCCCTATAGCAAATTAAAATAAATAAATACAATTAAATGATTCTTTAAAAAAAAAAAAAGTCAGGCCCGGAGAATGTCCAGGAAGACAAAGACCAGCCTCCCGAGGTCCCTCCTCAGCTCAGCTCAGGGGGTCTTCACAGGCCCGCCAGGCTGGCGTGAGCATCAGCAACACGCACTGCCTCAGAGCTTCCTCTCGCCCACCAAGGGGGCCGCTTTTTCTGTGACTCTCAAGGGTCTGGGAGGGCTCCTGGCTGCTGGAGTTTGCACATGGAATAGGGATGAGGTCAGCAGAGGCAGCTCCGCGACACCACACACCACGGAGCTAGTGAGTGCCACCCTCTTGAATAATAAGGCTTCAGAGACCCGGAAATTTCAACACTGCATTTGCATACGCTCCAAGCTGACTGGAATCCAGCCGGGGAGGCACAGTTAGCCCTGAGCCACAGAACAAAACCTCTGTTCTCAGAGCAGATCAAGGGAGGGCAGGGGGAGGAATGAAAGGTTCCTTGACAGCTACCTGACAGGGCCACAGCAGAGCCCCCGTTCAGGGAAATCAGCCTATTAATATTTAAATCCCAAGAAGGCCCACGGCCTGAGGATGACACAGAAGTACCCGTCCTGCCCTGGGCTGCTGCAGCAGTGACTGGGTAATCTGTCAGCCTGCCCGCTGGCTGCAGCACCGCTGCGTGGACACCCAGCACTGCAGACGCTCAGTGCAGGTGGTGCTGGCTTTGGCTCATTGTAACAAGCCTCCATCAAGCATGCGGGTAAAGGGGGCAGCGGCCTGCCCTCCAGGAGCCTAATGCCTCTCTGGCTGAAAGTTCAGGTGCAGAGGAGCCTTAGAGAATTCGCCATGGACACAGCCCGGGGTCATGAGGCTTGGAAAGCAAACAGGTGATTCTCACACACACCCAGACTTAGAGTCCAGTGGAAAACAAACGTGCTGAGTGGGTGGAACAGGAGCCGGCCACTGGTCTGGCAGGCCTGGGACAGGGAACCGCGAGTGTGCAGAGGCTCTGAGCACACGCCGGAGAGGCTAAGTCCTAGGACATCAGTGAGCACACTAGGGACCCCTCACTCCTCAGAGCTGTTCTCAGGACCACCAGGGCCATCGAAGCCTGTGTCTCCCTGGCCCAGCACCCTGCTTCCTGTCCCACATGGGAGCCAGGGTGTCTCCCTAGCGGGCGAGAACCTCTGGCTGCACCTCCTCCAGCAAGCGTAGGAAGCAGACTGTGGGAGCAGCGACTTGTTCAGGGTCCCTCTGGGAGTGAGGGACTTGCTTCACCACGTGAGCCCAAGGTTGTCACCAGCCACACGAGACCTGGGTCTCAAATGATCTTGCCCCAGAAATAAGAGAGTAACAGAACAGCCTCTGTGCCCTGCTGGCCCTCAGGCGTCCTGAGACAGTTGCAGGTGCCAGGCAGGGTGGATGCGCCTTCTGCTGCCCAGGGAGGCAGGCAGGACAGCACGGTTCACTAACCACCAAACGGGCGGGGAGGTGCTGCTGTCACCGAGCACGTGACACGGGCAGGCCCCCATCTCTGACAATCTCAACAACAGGGAGCGTTTAATGACTGTCAGAGGAAAAGGAAGCAGATGTTGGTTGCACCCCTGCTAGGAGGACTCTTGTCTCTACGACCTCCCCTGACCCTGGCCCCAGGCTAACCATTTTGCTCGTATGACTTCACCTCATTCTCGTAAGAACTATGCACCCGGGCCGAAGGCACTTGGGATCACGGAGACAGATGTGCACGTGGTCACGAGTGGGGGGCTGACCTGGGCCACCTTGCCGCCATGTTGACAGAGACCACTTTTAAGCTCCTTGTCAAGGAAGCTCCTCCTTAACACTTCTGGAGAATTAAATGCTGCAAATTTATTAAGAAGGAAAGGACTTAGCATTTTAGAAATGATGGGGGGACTACACCTGGCTGGCTGATGAGCCGAGCCCGGCCTTCCCACGCACCTCTCCTAAGACAGGACACACTGACATGGCGCCAGCCTAAGGACTGCAGGACAGTGTGCCATGGGGGGCCACCTCTGGGCCTGACGCTGAGGAATACTTGAAAACATTCCTCTCCTCCCTTCTCCATTTGCTACTTTAAAAACTGAGCTTTGATAGACAGCACACTCCAACCTCTCAAAGAATAACATTTCGGTGGCAGTCTCTTCCTCATCCTGGCCACCACCCCATACTGCTCTCTGAATCCTTCCAGACTTCTCTCTGCACGCACAAGCTAACATGAAGAAATCCTCTCTCCCCTTTACACAGAAATGTAGCACATTCCTTAGATGGTTGTGCACTTGCTGCGACACCTCACGCAAACCCCGGACGGCCCACATGGGCTGTGTTTCCTAGCCTCGTGGCACCCACTGCGTGGCCAGCACTGTTTCTATGGTTGGTCTCTGGAGGGAGCAACTGTGCTCCCTGAGTGCCACTTTGCACCTGCTGAGTGCACTGATAACACTGATAACCCAACGTGGAAGCTGAGTCAAAAAAACAGCTGGTTGCTAACACTCATTAAGGATTAGCCTTTGTTTTATTTTATTTTTTTAGTTTTTGCTATAGAACACATTTGTGACCTGAGAGACAGCGGTGAGAAATCTCCCCCTGGGGGGATGGCCATGCCTCAATTCCTTCTCTATTCTCTTCTTGGGATTTTGGGCATGCACTCTCAAGAGCCCAGAGTGCTTTTCAAGCTGCCAGATCTGGTACTGAAACCACGGAGTCAGCTATGTGGGATCTGGCCACCCTAACCTCCACGCCATCTGTCTTACTAAATTCCGGATGCCACTGACACAAAGCATTAAATATGCCTGAGACGCTAGAGTGGCTGCAGGGTGATTGGCTTGTTGGGCCCTGAAAACCGAGCACACCAGTTTGAGGTGTCTTCCTCCTCCCCCGCCCTATCCCTGCGGCAAACAAACCAAGGCACTGCAGGCTGGGCCCGGGCCTCCAAGTTGAGCTCAGTCAGGTTTTAGGAAACTGGTGGTTGTGGCTGACGGAAAGGACAGGAGGCTTCTAGGACTGACAAGTGTTTTGAAAAGCAATGACCCACGCCTATTTCTTCACTGTGCTTCAAGGGTTGCTCAAAGCAGAGGCGGCATTGTGTAACACTGCTACGCAGCTGGGGTGCAGAGGGTGCTGGGCAGCCCTCAGCCTTCAGTGCCTGGCAGGGATTTGGCTCTACTGGCAGCTCCTGGCTCAGTGCCATTCCCTAGAAGCCAGCAAGGACATTTAGCATCCACACCAAGAAAGCAAGACACTACCGCCAACCTGAGGGGCTTCAAGCTAGCATTTGGACTGCTGTGCCTGAAGTTCCAAGAACTGATAGGGTGCTGTGAGGTCTGGGTGGCATTCAAAGAGCAGGTTTCAGGCCAGCTGGTGGCATAATGGTTAAGGTGGCTGGCTCCCACATGGCCAACTGTGTGGTTCAAGTCCTGGACCTGGAGGCTCGAAAAACATGCCAGGCTTGTGGGTGTTTGTGACCAAAATCGTGAGAGCAGAGTGAAGCACAAGGGCTTGTGGTGTAGCCATTCCCCCGCCGCCCGCAGGAGGGATTTCTCACTTCCCCCTGCTCCCCATCTCTCTTTGGTGAATCCATGTACCCCTCTGGGAAATTAAAAGTAAGAGAAAATAAAGAGCAGGTTTCTCAGGCCAGGTAGTAACAAGATGTTAATGTAACTGGATCCACATTGGAAAGGTCCTGGGTTTCCATCCTGGCATCTCCCTGAGCACACTGGGTGTGTGCCCCTCTGCTCTGAGCTGGCTGAGACTGGGGGCAGATCTGCAAAGACCCTGTTGGGGGTACTCGCCTCTCTCTCTTATGGAAGGAATACATAAATAAACTTAAAAATAAATAAAAAGCAGGATTCTTCTCTCCCAGATCCTCATTTCAGTTCTTGGTAAATATTCAGAAGTGGGACTTTTGGGTCATATGGTAGTTCTACTTGTAACTTTTTGAGGAAACTCTAGTTTTCTATAATGGTTACACATTTAATTCCCACCAACAGTGTATAAGGGTTCCAATTTCTATACACCCTTGCCAATACTTTCTTTTTTTTAGAATTATTTTATTTAACTTTAAAAAAAATTATTGTCTATTTTAATTTGACCAGAGGGCAAGAGAAAACAAGTCACCAGGTCTGGGACTCAAAATGCAGTCAGCTACATGGGAGTCCACCCCCCTACACCCGACTGCCCCCCCCCCCCCCCCCCGGCTGGCCCCATTCTTTTTTTTAATTGCCAGAAGTCACAGGTATTCACTGGAGACCAAGGTGTGTGGGGAGAAGTACCCCTTAAATAGGTGTGGTCACACTGTAATCCCTTCTCTTCCATTTCTCCATTCTGTCAGAATTTAGGGCATGCATACACATACACCCAGTGTTTTTCAAGCTGTCAAGACTGGGATTCAAACTGTAGTTGGCCATGTGGCTCTGACTCCCTTAACCATTAGGCTATGGGGCTGGCCCTGTTGTTTATTATTTATTTTTTATAATGGTCATCCTAGCAGATATGAGGTGATATCTCACAATGTTTTGATTTACATTTCCTTGATTAATGATATTCTTTTTTAATATACCTGTTGGCCATTTCTGTGTCTTTCTTGGAGAAAAGTCCTCTGCCCATTTAAAAAATCAGATTGTTTGTGTATGTGTGTATGTATTTTGCTATTGAGTTATCAAGAATTCCTTACATACTTTGAGTATTAGCCCTTTATTAGATATATGATCTACAAATTATCTTCTCCTATTCCATAGGCTGCCTTTTCATTCCATTGGCTGGTTTTTTTTTTGTGTAAAAGCTTTATAGTTTATTTATGGTGTAAAAGCTTTATAGTTTGATGTAGTCCCATCTGTTTATTTTGCTTTTGGTGTCATAGCCAAGAAATCATTGCTAAGACTCATGTCAAGAAGTTTTCCCCCCTGTTTTCTTCTAGTAGTTTTAGAGTTTCAGGTCTTATTTTAAAATATTTAATCTACAGGTGTATAGCCAAAAGAATAAAATTAAGATCTTAAGGCATTATCTGCACTTTGATGTTCACTGCAGCACTATTTACAATAGCCAAGGTATGGAAACAACTCACATGTCTGTTGACAGATGATCAGAGAAAATGAGGTATTTATATAGTGGAGTATCATTTAACCTTACAGAAGGAAATCCTGTCATTTGCAACATGAGTGAACTTGAAGGACATTCTACTAAGTGAAATACGCCAGTTACAGAAGATCAAATACTGCACGATTCTACTTTCATTAGATATCTAAATCACTACAATCACAGAAGCACGGAAGAGTGGTGGTTACCAGAGGCTGGGAGAGGAAGAAATAAGAAGCTATTGTTTAACGACTACAATCTCTCAATTATGTCAGACGAATACACTTGGAGACCTGTTGGACAACACAGCACCTGTGGTTAACAACACTGCTGTACTGTCTTGTGCACTTAAAATTTTATTGAGAAGGAAGATCTTAGTGTGCTAACAACCAACCCCGTCAAAAAAAAAAAAAACCCAAAAACAACAGGCATAAAGATGTCCAAACTCTTCAAACTGTATATATTAAATATGTGTAGCTTTGCGTATCAATTGTACCTCAAAAAAGCTAATTAAAACACAGGAAAGAGCAGGTAGATTTATTCTTGTGGCACTGGTGCTGTCGTTATCTGTGTGACCTTGGGTGAATTACTTACCTTTTATGAATTCTAGTTTTATCATTCTGGAGGCATGAAATTGGTATTATCCTCGGATCCATTTAAGCTGGAAAACTATGACATGGGGACCGGGCTTGCAGGCAGGCTTGTCATGGGGTAGGTCTTGGCGGAACAGCAAGTATTTTGGAATAGGCAACGGATTGGGGGATGTGGAACTATATACATAGCATTTGTGATGTACCTGCTAAGTACAGAATGGCCTCAAAGCTTGCAACAGGACCCCTGATGGCAAGGTAACTGACATCCCTAGGCAGCATGTGAGAAGGAAGCAATGGGGCACAGATAATGAGAGGAATTTAAAGAGATGCTCAGAGATGCTGAGTCTCAGGCTGGGCAGTGAACAGCTGGTGCTGAGCTTCCCCTCAGACTCTTGACGGTGGCTATGACTCTCCTACCATCTGGGGATCCACCTGTTCCAGGGAGAGCCCCACTCAGCTACCATGGTGCTCTGTGGAAATGAATTCCATGTGGTCCTTCTGCTAGCACTGGCCTTTAATACTGGGCTCTGCTGTCAGTTCCCAAATTAGATTCAGTCTTGGACTTGGGATTTTTGCCATCCCCTGGGAAAGCTTCCAGGACCCTCTGTGTGTGATGCCTGGGACTGACCTCCACCTCTTAACCATCCCTGATGCCCTCTCTAGAGTCTCAGACTCGCTTCTAAAGAATGCGTTGGGAGCAGGGGAAGAATGGTGTGGAATAATAAAATAAATCGGGAAGGCTTTGAAATACAGAAAGGTTTTGACTGTAGCACTGGGAACTACTGTTCTAAAAGGCACTTGAAGTGGGAAATATTTAATTCAAAAGCCTAACTGAAAAGGATACTAACGTGCAGTTCGATCCTCACTTCCATTGAAGGCATCATGTATCTGAGCTCAGAGAAAAGGGAGGCTCAATCCTACTCCACTCTCTGGGACAGAAGCCATTACTGAGTTTGAACTGGGCCAGTGGGTAAAGTGTGAGTGAGAGGGAAATAGCCCATTCACGGATTTCCTCCTTCGAACCCAAACTGAACAATGGAACTGCACAAAATGCTTCCGTACTTACTGGCATGGTTTTGTCTCCGAAGAAATAAATGGTCTTGTAACCGTCATTTTCCACATGTCTCAGGCAGTACCTCTTGTCCCATCCATCAGGAAAAACATCGAAACTGATCTGACCTCCTGCCGGCGGGAAGGGCACACAAAACATCTCAAGGTGAAAGAGAGACCAGTGATACAGGAAGCTGAAAAGATCAACCTCAAGATTTGAGCAGCCTCACTCAGGGATTAGGACCACTGAAGACCCTCTGCCCAGACTTCATGCTCCTGTCCCCCAGGTCTGGCCAGGAGCCAGGTTAGACAGCACCCTCTTTATTCTCTCTCTCTCAATTTTAATTTTTAAAATTTTTTTAAATTTTTAAACATCTTAGTGCTCTGCTATCCTTTTGCCTTGCTAATTCTTACCTTTCCCCCTTCCTCCATAGGACAAGCCAATCAGCAGCCATCTATCTCTGAGTTCTGAGTGGTCTCATTTGTGTGGCAAGCTAGCACTCCGCGTGGTTTTCATTTTATGCTTAAAATTTTTTTTTATTGTTTCTCTTTTGTTTTTACTTTTTTTTGTTTTTCCTTTTCCTTTTCTTTTTTACCTCTCTCATTTTTCTGCTCAGCCTTCACACACTAATATTCTAGACAGGTCTAGGTGCTCATTAGCCAAATATCTGAATACTTTTAGGGTCAGATTAATATCAATTTCCATTGAATCAACTGAGTAATGGGAGAAAAATGGTACTGTTTAGGGACTGCAGGTCACCTCCTTCTGCATTCTTCTGAATGCTGAGATTTAACTCCAAAACTAGGAAAAAGAGTGTAACCCATCAGATGACCAGAAACTACTGCAGAGACACAGAAAACATGCGCAACCAAGAAAATATCTCTCCCCTAAGGGAAAAGAATAACTCCTCATCCTCCACAGACAATACAAGAGAACTCTTGGAAATGTCAGATAAAGAATTTAAGATATTCATAGTGACTAAATTAACAGAGATGCAAGAGAAGGGAGACAACAAACTCCAAAAATGCAGGAGAAAAGAGAACAAGTTCCAGGAGGTGAGGAAGTTCTTGCATGATCTGAAAGAGGAGATACACATCATAAAAAAAGAGTCAAACAGAATTGTTAGAGATGAAGGCTGTGATATAGGAAATCAAAACCTCCCTTGGAAATATCAAAAGCAGATTTGATCATGCAGAAGACGGAATCTCAGATGTAGAAGATAGAACCTCTAACCTAGAAAAATTCACCAAAAAGACTGAGAAAATAACCCCCCCAAAATGAGAACAACATATGAGTAATACTAGGTATCATTAAACACACAAACATTCAGATCATTGGTATCCCAGAAGGTGAAGAAACTAATAAGAGCTTTTTTTTTTTTTTTTTTTTTTTGAGATTTTGCCATAGAGCGTATGTGCTTACTGGCAAGAGACAGAAAAAAACAGTGAAAGGTAAAGCGAGAAATCCGCCCCCACACATTGGGGATGGTCACACTACAATCCCTTCTCCTCCATTCTCCTCCTGGAATTTTGGGCATATATGCACATACACTTCAGGTCCAGGACTTGAATCATGGTCAGCTACATGTGAGTCCAGTGTCTTAACTACCACATCATGTGCTAGCCCCCAGAAATGAGCTTTTCAACTGAGACTGTATTTGATCTGGAGATGGGCACAGGCCTGACAGAATTTACCAACACCAGACCAGCTCTTCAAGAAGTGCTGAAGGGAGTGCTGTACCAGGAACACTGAAGTCGGACACACCGAAATAAGAGTGTAAAAAAGCAACAAAGAGAGTGGCCAGCTTAATGGTAAGGACAAGTCTGAAGTTGAATGTTAACTTTCCAAGTTTAAATGGAAAGATCAGACCACAGTAACACTGCAAATTCAATAGAAGAAAGATTAATTACATGAGACTAAACTAGGAAAACAGAATTTTTTTGGAGAGATTTTCGCTATAGGGCGCGTGCGCCTGCCAGACAGACAGAGACAGAGAGACAAAAAGCGAGAAGTCACCCCCCAGGGGGGATGGTCACGCCGCAATCCCTTCTCCTCCATTCTCCTCTTGGGATCTTGGGCGCACACGCACACGCGCCCAGCGTGAGTTTTTAAGCTACCGGGTCCGGGACACGAACCACGGTCAACTACGTGGGAGTCCAGCGACATAGCCATTACGCTAACTGCTGGTTCCCGTAAAACAGAATTTTTTGAGTTTAGACTAAAACATTACTGTTTTTCTTTGATGCTTTGATTTCCATATTTAAGGATTTTTGTCTTCTCTTGAACTGTTGATAGGTTCATCTACCTACTATTTGAACTGAATCCTCACCTTTTTACTGGGTTTAAGTTTTAAACAAATTTCTCTTAACATTTTTTTTTTTAATTTTAGTCTACTAAAATTAAGTTTTTCTTTTTCTTTTTTTTTTTTTAAAGATTATTTTTAACTTTATTTGTTATCATAATTCTTCAATTTTGGCCAGAAACAGACAAACAGAGAGAAAGAAAGAGTGAGAAAGCAAGCCACCAGGTTTAGGACTTGAACTGTGGTCAGCCATATGGGAGTCCAGTGTCTCAATGACCATGCCGACCCCAAAACTGTTTTTTGCTATAGGGCGCGTGCGCTCACCAGACAGACAGAGACAGAGAGACAGAAAGCGAGAAATCACCCCCCAGGGGGGATGGTCACGCCGCAATCCCTTCTCCTCCATTCTCCTCTCGGGATCTT